TTTTTTTCTTTACGTACTTTTATAATAATGGTGTCATAAAATACGTATCTTTATGAGCTTAACTAACTTGCTAGCAAAATGTTCAATTTTGTCCATGTCTTAAGGTGTTTGACAGACATGTCGTTGTTTCTTAAGGATGCATAATAGTCCACTGTGTGAATGTACCAGAGTTTGTTTATCCATTCTTTAGAGTCGGAGTTGTTTCTGTATTTTAGCTGTGCATATGGCTGTTTGTATTTTGTTCTTTCTTTCTTTAGGATACATATACCAAGTAGAGAGATTGCAGGATCCTACAGTATTTGTATTTGCATTTCCTTAAGCAAGCATTATACTGTTTTCCATGGTGATTGTACACTTCTTCAATCCCACCAGCAATGTATAAATGTTCCAACCTCCACATCTTCTCCAGCATTTGTTATTTTCTGTTTTTAATTTTTTTTGCTGACTGTTGGTTTGAGATGGTATCTCATTGTTTTTTAAATTTGTATTTCTCTTAATGCTAATGAATGTGAATATTTCTTCATATGATTGTTGGCTGCCTACATGCCATCGTGAGTAAATAGTCTTGTCTTATTTCCATTTTTTACTGGGTTATTTGTAGTCTTTCTTAAACAGTGTTGTAGTTTTCTATATGTTTTTTAAATTAGCCCTCTATCATTGCTGAATGTTTTTTCACATTCTGTGGGCTCTCTTTTAACTCTTTTAATGAAGCCCTCTGATGTGCACAAATGTCCTAATTCAGAAAGTCCTCGTCCTCTATTTTGTATTCTCCAGTGTGGGTATTTATCATTATGTTTGGTAGTGTATTTATGCCTTGTATTAAGGCCCTTAAGTTTGTCTTTGTTTTTCCATTGATGGTTTTTATGGCTCTAGGGTTAATGTTAAGTCTTCAATCCATCTTGAATTGTTTTTATACATGGTGTAAGGTATAGGTCCTGTTTCATTCTTTTGCAGGTAGAGATTCAATTTTCCCAGGACCATTTTCCAAAAGATCATATCTTCCCCACCTAATCTATTTTAGTCCTTTATCAAAGATCAGTTGTCTGTAGGTGCTTGGTTGTATTTTTCAGTTCCCAATTCTAGTCCATTGGTCTTCATGTCGATTGTTGTGCCAGTACTAAGCTGTTGTATGACTATGGAGTAGGCTTTAAAAGCTGGGAGTGAAAGGCCTTCTACTTTGTTTCTTATTTTTAATAGTGTTCTGTTTACTCTGGGTTTGTTTCCTTTCCATATAAAGTTGTTTAGTTTTTTTTCATTTCTTTGAAGATTATGCTGAGATTTGGATCAGAATTGCATTGAATTTATAAAGTGTTTTGGGTAATATTGACATTTTCACTGTATCTGATCTATCTCCCTATCCAGGATCATGGGGCATTCTTCCATTTGTGTAAGTTTCTTTTAGATTCTTGTAGAAGTGTTTTATAGTTTTCTGCACATAAGTCTTTTGTTTCTCTAGGAAGACTTAGATCTATTTAGTCTTCTGGGTAGTTATTGTAAGTGGCATTGTTCTTTTAATTTCTATTTCTTTAACATACAACAATTCAATTGATTTTTATATGTTGATTTTATAGCCTTTTATGTCTCCAAATTTTTCAGGTAGCTCCAGCAATTTAAAAAATTGAATCTGTGAGATTTTCTATGTGTAGACTGTATTATCTGCAAATAGAGCCTTGTTTCCTCTGTGCCAAGATGGGTGCCATGAATATGGCTCCGGCTAAGAGTTCCAGGACTGTATTAAGAGAGATAATAAAGGACAATCCTGTCTGTCCTGTTCAAAGAGGAGAATGTTTTCACTTGTTCTCCATTAAGTGAGATGCTAGTCATTGGTTTTGCACATATGGCCTTTATTATGTTGAGTAAATTCCCTTCTCTTCCTGTTTTAGTGGGGTTTTTTTTGCAAAAATAGATGTTGAATTTTAACAAATGCCTTTTCTGCATCAATTGATAGAAGTTTGTTGAAAATCTTGGGATCTATATTCATCTGGGATATTGGTCTATAATTTTCAATTCTGGTGATGTTTTTGCCTGGCTTAGGTATCGGGATTATAATTACTTCATAAAATGAGCTTGGTGTTATATTGTATGCTTCTATTTTATGAAACAGTTCAAATAAGATTGGTGTTAGCTCTTCTCTAAATGCTTAG